GTGGGAGAGGCAGGCCGTAAAACGTCAGCTGCCAGCATGCCCATGTTGTTGAAGCCCTCTGACCTTGACCCTAGTCTCGCCAAACCAAAGTCGGTGAGTATCTCATGAAGAGAGAGGGGAGGGGGGGACTTGATGGATGCCTTTCTGTGTTTGTTTCTTCTTTCCTATCAAACATTAATCATCCTTATCTCTCTTCCTTCTTTTCTTTGTATTTACTGGTATCTCTCTACTAACTCCTCTCATCTTCTACACATATATGACCTATTTGTGATGCAAGTGCCGTAAAACGGTCACAAAAAGTAGGACACTGGGCCACAGTGTGTGTGGAAATCACTACAGCGCTGACCTTATCGCCCTCGGTATAGGAGCAATGTCTCATGTCCTCTAATAATGAGAGGCGTGGTGTGGACATGTAAGTGTGGGATTTGGGCCGGGTGAGAAAGGCAAATGTTACTTGGCATGCTGTTATTTTACTTTATTACCCAAACCCCTGAAGTCATACCAGCAAACTTTATCATCACAAGGGAAGTAACTCTAGATGAAGAGTCTGTCTATGAAATCATGGTAGTTACCGTCCTTGAAACCGTTACTTTATAAGCGCCTACATTTTTATTTCACTTTGAGATGTGTCCCCCACTGACCTTCGGTTTTCCCTGACAGTTTGGAGCTTCCTAATTGATGAAGATTGTGTTGATGTGAATGTCAGACATTTATAGTGGAACCTGCTCTAACAGACACCTGCATAAGACATTGACCTGGACAAGCTATCTCCTCTATATAAAGCAATCACCTGTACAAACAGACACCTGTATAAGACAATCACCTGTACAAACGGCCACCTGTAGAAGACAATCACCTGTACAAACAGACACCTGTAGAAGATAATGACCTTGAGAAGCAATCACCTGTCCAAGACAGTAGAAGACTATCACCTGTAGAAGACAATCACCTGTACTAACAGCCACCTGTGTAAGATGATCACCTGTACGAACAGACACCTGTAGAAGACAATCACCTGTACAAATGGCCACCTATAGAAGACAATCACCAGTGCAAACAGACACCTCTTAAAGACAATTACCTTGACAACCGGACACCTGTAAAAGACAATCACCTGTGCTGACAGCCACCTGTTTGAAACAATCACCTGTACAAACAGACACCTGTATAAAACAATCACCTGTACAATGGGACACTTCCCAATTGCTTTTTTTTTTCAAATATTATCACACTGTGTAAGACAACCACTTTTCTCTTGCACAACGAATAGCCGTTTTGGGCAATATGGACAGTCCCTGGCCTGGAGACATTTAGGAGTCGGGCTAGGGTTACTTGTGTCGGTGTGCGATTTCACCTTCTTCTTCTTCTTCTCGAGCGATTTCATCGTTTACCGACAGTCACATTTCTCCCACAGGTTAGGTCGGCGGACCGACGCGCAGCCCACTGGGTATGTTCTCACTTCGTGACGGCAAGTTTGGGATTTTTTCTGACGTTTGTTTCATTTTGTTTTGTTGATTTAACCATTTCTTCAGTCACTGAGCTTTTTCCATCTATGACTGTACAGACCACACCAAATGTCCCCTCAGGAGATCTGTAATTCAAAATTTCCCTCCAAACTGAAAATGTTTTTATGTGTCCCACGCGCTCATATGACCTGATGCAGTTTCAGGCGCTGTAAATCACTTACCCAAAAAGAAAAAAGAAAGGAGATCTGTCTACTTTGACAGCGAACCTTTCACCTGTGTCAGGATGTGCAGCTGTACACACCTGAGAGTTCTGTCTTCTAGAACATTCTTCATACACCTGACAGTTCTGTCTTCTAGAACATTCTTCCAGCCTCTAGAACGTTCCCCATACACCGGACTGTTCTGTCTTATAGAACATTCTTCATACACCTGACAGTTCTCTCTTCCAGAACTTTCTCCATACGCCTGACAGTTCTATCTTCTAGAACATTCTTCGTACACCTGACAGTTCTGTTTTCTAGAACATTCTCCAGCTTCTAGAACGTTCCCCATACACCGGACTGTTCTGTCTTCTAGAACATTCTCCATACAACCGACAGTTCTATCTTCTAGAACGTTCTCTGTACACCTGACAGTTCTATCTTCTAGAACATTCTCTGTACACCTGAGCAACACCTGACAGTTCTATCTTCTAGAACATTCTCCATACAGCGGACAGTTCTGTCTTCTAGAACATTCTCCGTACACCTGACAGTTTGTCAGTCATTGTTAGACAGTGGCGACTTAACACTTCGCCCGTCCGTGAAGAGGTCAGTGGGAGGGAAAGTGTTTCTGTTCTTTCACTTCACTGTTGGTTCCTCTCTCAAACTTTACTGTGTAGTCGAGATAACATTGTTGAAACAGTTAACGCATTGTGGCTTTTTGCCACTTGATCTCTCTAATGTGGGTGCTCTGCTGGGGTTTGCTTCTCCTTTCCTATCAAACATCTATCGTCCTTATCTCTCCTCCTTCTTTCCTATCAAACGTCTATCGTCCTTACCTCTCCTCCTTCTTTCCTATCAAACATCTGTCATCCTTTTCTCTTCTTCTTTCTTTTCTATCAAACATCTTTCGTCCTTATCTCTCATCCGTCTTTTCTATCAAATGTCTATCATCCTTATCTCTTCACCCTTTCATGTATGCTACTCTCTAGTAACACCTCTAGTCTTCAACACGCACTTGACCTAATTGTGTTGCAAGTGCCGTTTAATTCTTACTAAGACTAAACCACTAGTACTAAAACTTTCTCTAACTGTGCTGAGTCTTAAGTCTTAAGCCCGCCTCTCACTACGCAGTTCCCCATCTCAAGATGATCTTTAGCGCTCATATGACCTTATGCAGTTGCGAGCGCCGTAAAACCTCTACTAAAACAAAAACAAGATGATCTCGAGATGGTCTTGGGATGATCTCAAGATGAACTGACAATCGGATCCGTGAGGGATCTCATTTGTGCCTAAACACTACACAGGCCAGCACATTATCAAAATGGCTCCCACCCAAAGTGAAGTTGCTGCAGCCTGTATAATTTTAAGTTGGCCTATTTCTCTGAAGAAAAAAAGGCGAAAAAATTATGGTGCAAAACATGGCTTCTTTGTCGGGAGAAATTCACCCACACGCACCTTTTAAAGGAATTGACATTGTAGGCCTACTCTGTGGATTAGGCTAGATCTACACAAATAAATTATTAACGTTTGGACGAGAACACGTCATCAATTTTTTAATTTTTTTTGCTTAATGAATAGTAAATAGCATGATACACGTGTCCCCAATAAATACGAGGTTTGGAAAAAAAAACTAATCTAGAAATATGTTTTAATTGAGACTTTCCAAAGCGAACACCTGCTGCTGGGGGAACAAATGTCATGGCCCAACCAGACATGTACATTGCTGTGTCGGTTTCAGCATGCCGTCTTGACACGTGTCGTAACGCGTCATCCAAATCGGCTGCATGCTTCCCCGCCGCTCCTCACCCCCCACGTTCCATATAAATGTTGGGTTGGGGGTTTTTTTTCTTGAACGAGACAGTATTTACAATTTTTATCAGTGTTCATCAAGATCATATTAATTATAGTCTGCAATTCAGTGGCTTGTTTTCCTAAGTTTGATTCTGGATTAAATTTGTTAATTAATTTGTTATGCACCTAGGCATAAGAACATGACTACTTCTTCTTCTTCTTCTTCTCCTCCTCCTCCTCCTCCTC